TCAACTATTTACTTCGTGTAGAATCAGTACTGAAAGTATTGTCGAAGGGTTCATTTGCACTTTAAATATACTGAATAAATTAGGTATTGTATAAATGCAAGTCAAATGAAAATGCAAGTCAAAGGTGTTAATATTCACACCTAAGGTGTTAAAACAACACAGTTATCCCAAAGGCTTTTTTTAATAAACCTGTGATATTTCTCTAACTTTGTTTGCAAACGTGTCTAAAATAAGCAATAATACTGACCCTCATATGATAATAAAACAGAATTAAAGAAGCCAAATTACAAAGAAAAAATTCCGAGCTCTAACTGAAGTGATCCGATTTTTCTGCGATAAAATTTGAACAAAATACTTTTCTGCTTTGAGCTCTTTTAACCCTGATCTTTGATACCTATTTTGAATCTCTAGCAAAAATCATGCTGAAATGATAAATATAAACAAACTTATTCAAGAACGTGGCCAAGGACATTACAGCTGTAGGTAGTCATGGTCATACAGGCATTATAAAGGTTAGAAAGATAGAAGAAAAAAAGGCTTCTTATACTTTTTCTTTTGCAAAAACTTGCTATGGCAAGTGTTTCGATAAGCTCAGATTTGGAATGGTATTGATGAAAGCTATAAACCTCTGTCGATGCAGTGTTTCAACAAAAAAAAAGCTCAATATTTACCTTCTGCTAATCTTTTAAGCAACATATATTGAAGAGTTTCTTGCTTTCACATATTCATGATAATATATTAACAAACGATACATACTTTGTTTAGATGCTCCTTTTATGTCTTTTTGCCTTTTTTGTTTGTGCGTGTTTTGGTACTTATTATGAATCATTATTTTTTTCATATATGCTTTGGCTATTTTTAATTTATTTCCTTATTGCATCATTAAGAGCGAGTCCACCTGAAAACCATGCAATGCTGAAAAATGTGTCTACATGGGGTATCTCCGATTATCTTGATATTTTGCACAGTTATGTACTTTGATGTGATTATTAAATGTGTGGAATATCAGACGAAAATTTTAAAACGCCAAGAAGATATGGATGTCGAATGAATCATGCCCAGACAAATTATGCAAATTACTGGAAATTAGAGCGAAATTCACAATAACAGTTCTCTAAAACTACAGCTCTTTTCGAAATGGAAACTTATACAAGTGTAGTATATCTATTGAACACTAAGATGAAGGTATCAAACTATCATTGCAATTCGAAACAAAATAATTAAGGTAATTTACGATTAAGTCGTTGGAATCGAAATTTAAAACAGGTATTTTTGGCCTGAAATAAACATCGTATATTCTCGCTGCGGCGGGCTTCTAAAAGTACGTAGTTTGATTTTTCTTTACTATAGATAATAGGAAACAAGTGCACGAAAAAAAATTTTTGTAAAGTATTAACTGTGAAGCATGAGAGCACCGCAAATATTGCGTGATTTAGCGATTATCTTACACAACGAGCTAATGGCTGATTACAACAAAGATGACTCATCAAATGAAAAACCGTTGCAAACCAGTAGTAAATAAAGGAAAACAATCTAGAAGAAGTCAGATATTTAGCTCTGCTACTTACTGTTTGTGAGAGAATGATACAACATAAACAAAGTCAAAAAGCCATACACCAAAATACAGTACACATTTATTGATCTGGACGTCTTTAGATATTGATATATATCTTCAACACAAGAAGTTTAAAAGACATTTGTTTAGAAAAAAATCAAAATACAACAAATATAATCCTCCAAGTGGTACTATGGCCATTCAAAGCCGACCATTTCATGTTTTAAGCTGCAACATCATATTGTTATTACATGTGCGACATCATCTGAAACTAGTTTCCAGTGCCCTTAAATTTTTGCTAGAGTCATCGCAAGGTCCTCCCATAATACATTCTAGCTCGACCGATTAAAGAAGTCACAAAGTGAGCTCCCTCAAGACTCTCTCCCGCAGATTATATCTTTCGGTCGTACGCACGGCAACTTCGACTTCTTCCTCTTCTTCTTCAGTTAAAGGTGCTGGTGGTCACTGACCAAGTTTTTTCATCCCCGCCAGTCTTGAAAAATAGCTAGTGATCTGCTGTACCGTTAGCCAATCTTCTTTATCAAAGACTCGTTTCCCGTTACTATCACGCATGGAACG